ATTTGCGCCCCCCCCCCCCCCCGGGGAAGGCAGCAGGAACCATCTTTGTTCGTTGGTATGGGAAGGAGGCTCCGTTTTTTGGAGCACGCGGTGGCAATGTTTTAACAACAGTTAAGGCAGGCAAAACATGGGTCCCCCCCCCCCCCGAACATCGCGCGCCTCAGGACGAAACGTTGTCGTCGTCGGCGACTCCGTGAACCGATTCGTCTACTGGGCTCTGGTCCGGAGCTTGGGGGAGGCGACGCCCATGGCCCACGACACGACCATCGAGAAGCACAGCGATTTCTCGTGGCAAGCCTCTGATGATTGGGGCACGCGCTTTTCGTTCCTTTGGGCGCCCGAAGTGGAGGACCTCAACGAGCGGGTGAGAGGAGGGGGGGGGGGGGGGCAGTAGCCTTCGCGAGGACCTTTGGCTTGGTTGTAGTATTAACCGGGGGTTGGGTGAGGGTTGTACTTTTTTTTTTTTTTTACGGTTAGGGTTACGAACCCCCCCTCCTCTCTACTTCACATCAAATGCTCATTATTATCGCGAAGGTGGTCGGGCAGGAGAGGGGGGGCTCTGTTGTTGAAATGGGTTTTGCATTGATGTATGGTCTGTGCACAACAATTTTTTGTCCGTTCACATTTTTTTTTGGCGATAAGTTCTTGTAGTCTACGATATACACGCGACTTAGGTTGGATTGGAGAACGGCCGCGCTCTCGAATCGGCGGGACCCCCTTGTGTATCTTTAGTGCGCGGTCGATGCTATCATTAGTAGACGTGCGCACGCACACTGACGCGGCAATGTGTGCTGTGCAGGATATACCGTGCGTCGATGTTCTCGTCTGCGTACCCCTTGGTGAAAATCTCCCGCGGTATAGTACAGCGTAAAAAAACACGTTATTTAGTTGCGTGTTTGTTTGTGTGTTGTTTTTAATTCCCGCGGAAGACGGCCGGTGCCGACTCAAGAAAACCACGCGCAGAGCGCAGAGAGACACTTGGGAATTCCTTTTCGCGTTCACTTGGAATCTCTGATCACCAGCTTTGCCCTCGTCTTTCTTTGGTTTGCAGTGAGGGCGGTATGCTCTGTGCTGTCATGTGAAGGCATAATCACTTATCTTTCGATTACGTACATTCGTCGCACGCGACTGCTCTGCACTACACTCCAACGCAGGTAGCGGAGGCGCTGGACATGTCGGGCGTGGACATTGTCTTGATTGGGGGTGGTCTCTGGGACGCGCTGAACGGCGAAGGCGATCTCGAAGGTGACTGCTGTGTACCAACGACCAAGTATATATATTTTTTACTTTCTGTGTTCCTTGCTCGTCTTTCGTAGTATCCGACATTGCGGGGTGCTGTGTCGTACTGCCGTCAGTCGGTGGCGTGTTTCTTCGCGTGCTCTACTGCTGCTGCCAGCTCTGCTTCGCGTTTTCTGCCTCTCTTGTTCTTGTTTTCCCGACCTGTGTGTCATTTTTTGCTGTTGTTCTGGTTGTTGTTGGTGTAGCGTCTGTTGTCGTGGATGCTGCTGCTGCCACCCCCGCTGCTCCCCGTGCTCCCGTACGCTTTTGACAATATGTGGCCTGGTTCCAATTTTCTGCGCGCCTCGGTTACGTATTTTTTTAGGCTACCGGAGCGGCATCAGCAGCGTGCATAATAAGGTTATTGCCCGAACTCCCTCCGACAAGGGCGTCGTGCCGGCTGTGGTGAGGAAAAGCGTTCTTTCTTCCAGCTTTCTCTCTTTTTTTTTTGTTTGTCTCTCCCTCTCTCCCTCTCTCCCTCTCTCCCTCTCTCCCTCTCTCCCTCTCTCTATATGGATATCTGCCTGCCCCCCCCCCCCCCCCC